CAGTATGGGTCAGGCAATTTAAAACAATTTTTTGCGTGGGTGGGGGAGGTAAAGGGTTAAAAAGAAACCCAGCGATTAAGAGCGCCTGGCCCTGGAAGGAAAGACGAGTTACCTTCAATAGTTTCAAGATCAAATTGTCTATTTGAAGGTGCTATGAGTTATAATGTTGTCGTTTCATGTAATGACTGATCAAGCTCACTAAACTTACCTTTAGTAAAGCATTAGAAATGAATAAAATGGTCCAAAAACCAATTATCAAAACAACGCTCGACATGAGAGCAATGTTCCCTATGTCTCGCAGTGTCTTGCAAACCTCCAGTTATTACTCTTCATGAATAAAAATAAACTGTTTTCTCGTTTATACTGCATGGACCAAAAATACGACTTATGAAGTGTATTTTCTTCAGAAAAACTTCCAATCAATGGCAAAATCTCCTGACTGGAAACTGTGATTCTGCCCGATTTTTTCCTGCTAACGATCGGTAATCCCCCTTTTCACAGCAGTCGTACATGCGGTCTGACTATTTGTGGTAGAATTATAGTCCAAAGAAAGTTACGAGGTTCGTTGTTCAAACATCTTGTAAACTTCTCAGGAAATATTCTAAACCCAGTCACATAGCTTTCGATGCTATCCCACATATATACAGCCTATCCACACAGCAACTGAACCTCAAGAAAGATTAATGATCACAATTCGTACCATTGTAATCAAGCCAAAAATAAATGTCTACTTGGTTTCCAGTTTCCGCTCTTTTTCGCGGTCTAACCGCACGTCCATATTGAGTCCCTCATGGGAGGGGTGGGTGAATAAAATTTTGAACATCAAAATTTGTTTTCCACGTAAAAAGTCGCTTGAGATTTGAGATAATAGACATTAGGAGATTGTTCGTATCTCAAATAAGATTGAAAGTTCTTAAAATGTCGATACTGTGTGTATCCTGTAATTTGGGTACTATCGACTGACTTGATAATTAGGGCCACCGTAAAGAGTTTCATTGCTGACTTTTCAAGCCAAAATTACCTTGTCACTCCCACCGACGCAGCTACAGTTTCTTTAGAAACTGTCCTTTATTCAGCTGCGTGTATTCTGGTTGGAGCCTCGTCATTCCCTCCAGGGAACCTGTGACTTCGAATGGCTTCCGATCCGTTATCACTTCACGATTAGGCAAAAAATGAACCCACGGTTGTGGTCCATTGAAATAATAAATGCAAAGCAATCTAGCAAATGTCAGACTCTTCTTGGAACTTGAATTATGAATAAAGGCATAAAGGCGAGAGCTATGGGAAAACTGTCTTTGAGTATCTCTAGGGAGCGAAGGGGTATGGAAAAAAGGAACTTTAACCTTGAAATAGGTGGCACGCAAGGGAGGTACTTTCCATCTGATTGATTAAGTGCCCTAAACAGCGTTCTTTGCAACAACATGCTAGCGTTTGGAAGTTTAATTTGCACGTTGTTTTACCTCATTACGAAATATCGAGATATGTCTACAAAGGTTACTTTGTGAAAGTGTTTTTTTCTGAGGCCATTTGCGCTAACAATAGAAAATAATTTGGACGGTCTATCGGCACCATCCCATCGTTTCCCTTCACTCCTACCCTTTCCTCTGGGGATCAGAGATTTTATTACAAACACAATCAGCGACAAATATTATTCCAGAAAAATTCTCTGTGGATTCGAGGTTCAAGTGTCACAACAGCATCACTCTTTTTTCACAACATACTCATTTTATTCAAATTGATTACTTTTATACCAATGCTGAAAAGACTTGGTACCCCAGCCTGCGGCATTGGCCTTGCCTTGAACTTGGTATCAAAGAGAGAAAAATAGCTACACATTATCTAACAAAAGGTGATACTTATTATGTTAACGCCTGTTAAATAACAGGTCCTATCGTACTTTTCTCCTTTTGTATTACACAACAAGAATCACTGACTCTTGAACTTGTCTTATTTTGGCATAATGAAAAATATTACATTGTACAGCGGGTGAGTTGAGTAACGAAAATTTAACAGCAACAGGACAGGATTTAGTGAAAGATAACTCCCTTGCAAACTACGAAACCTGCAAAGCATATTTTTCTTTCATTCTGACACATTACAAAAAGGATTAATACAGTGTCTTGCTTATACAATATTTGGCTAATTTGGGATAAAACGAGTGAATCCGAAATCTTTGAAACGTGCTTGCAACAAAACTGTTGTAATAAAAGCTGACAAGATGCATGCTGGGAAAAGCTGAATATTGTTAAAAAGTCTCAGTTGAAGTCAAAAAATAATCAAGAGCACAAAGACTGTACACAAAAGTTATGCAGAAGAGAGCATTCCTTCCACTCCACCCTGCTATTGAGGGTCTTTAAGGCAGTATGATCCCCGGAAAACCATTTTTACTACAACAAAGAAACCACTCCTCACCATATCAACAATTACTTCTCTTTCTAACATTACAAAACTTTAATTAATACGCTATCAAATTTCTTGCACGTGTAAAATAATCACTTTTCCATGGATTAAAGTTTAATTGAATAGTTCCCATGAACAGCAAACATTTTTCTTCGAAACTGCTGAGAGTTATTAACCTAAAAACAGAGAGAGAGAAAAAAGACAAGACTAATTTTGACTACAGTCATTCAGTGTCCTCCACAGCCATTCTTTGGGAAGCCACTCTGGTGCAAGGTGGAGTGCCACATTACAATGATCAAAGCCATTGAGCCACTAAACTCAGAAACTTCGTTTTAGTAACTAAGCTGATAATGTAAACTGATAGAGTTTCTAAATGCATCTAGAGGGTCCAAAAGTGAGCAGTACTTCTTGTCCCTTATCAACCATCTCATGGCTGAGGAAAAGAAACATTTGTTTGCAGAAAATTTTCAAAAGGTACAGCCCCACTGAAGTTATTATATTAGCTGTTTCTTCTGGAGATTGATGGAATTCCACAGGCTTCCAGGTCACAAAGCCATCCCCTTTAACAAAAATATATATTTCAGAGTTTCGAGTTTGGCAACAGAATTAAGGCCTACCTTGGACAGGTGTAGCTGTGTGGTGTTGGCTCAAAGACTCTACATGGCTTCAAATTCATCAACCCTCTGCTTAGTATTTCCTTGCCTGATTTGCTTCAGCGTCTTGTATTTATCTCTTCCTTCTTTCTGGTTCTGCATGTGGAGTTTGTCGTAACTGGAGTAATTCTTTTCTTCTTTTCGGAGATCCTCTTGAAGTTGCTAAAACCATACAGAGTTCAAACATGTTGAGAATAGTTTGACTTAAGCATCAATGACCTGTAAAATTAATTCTTGACCACATTGCAAAGTCTAATCCTGATTGTTCTTAACTCATAGAGAAATGGAAATAAGTTGGAATAAAAAAGGTTTGAAACCCTTTAGGGAAAAACTACACAACTTGACTGAGGAAGGGAGTCCAGTTCTTGTTTGAACTATTAAGGGTTTAAGAAAGGGAAGATTTGAGAAGTCAGCATTCTTCTGTATCTGTTAATTCAGCATACTCCACTTACAGGCTTTGTAACCTTTTTCAAGCACTTTTCTAGGACTCCAATTGATTTGTCCACAACTCCAAATTTCACCTTAAACCTTTTATTCCCAAGAGTTCCAGTCAAAATTCATTCTTCTAACTGTCTACATAATACATTGCTCATAATGAAATTGGGACAACTTTACTGCTCGAGTTAGGCAGATTTCAAGGACATTTCAGTCCTGGAAATGTTGACATAAAATTTCAGCACTCTCCAGGTTTTCCAGGACATGTACAAACCCTGCACCTAATTTATAGTGCTTAGCATGTCAGATAATTCACTGAAGAACAAATTGGATGTTAACATGTCGATAAAGATGAAATTCAGGGAGGGATTGCTGACCATCACAATCCTTTTCACCATCAAATCTATACTGTTTACAATGTGGGAAATTTTAGTCTTCTTGAGCATCCATGGGTCCAATTTTAACATTTATCTAGATTATTGTAAACTTCAATTGGACCACTGGAAATGTAAATGTCTGTGTAAGGAAGAAAAATTGAGTACTTGCACTTTTGGAACCCTAATATTCTAAAAGCTCAGCGATCACTGCAGTGATACCTGAAGCATTTTTCGCTGCCGTTCATTCTTCTCAGCCTCTGTTAAACGATTTTCTTCAGATCTGTCTCCCTCTACGAGGGGATCTATCTCAAGTTCTGTTTCAAGTGTTGTTTGTGTTTCCTCCATTTCAATGTGATCCTCTTTCACCTGGGCAGCTAAAATAGCTTGCTCTTCTAATTGTTCTGCCTTCTCCTGGAGCTTCTTTGTTTCTTCCTGTTGGCTTTCAAGCTTGAAATATGCAAAAAAAAAAATACAAGTTAAGTACTAGGTTAAATGTTACATGCCCAGCAAGAATCCAAAACCACAAAAGTTGCAATGCTGGAAATTGACAATGTTCAAGGGATGTCCACCTAGTTGGCAAACACAGGAGGGATTTGAAGAGAAAATGATGCAACACAAATAAATGAAAGCTCTTAATCAAATTACTCAGCCAAAAAGAATGACTTTATTAGTTGGAATCACCTGGTATATTTAACCCCTTAACCACCTAGCTGTACTACTGAGTACTTCATGCAATTTACAGTTTTCATGAGGTGCTCAGCACATCAAAATCCCTGGCACCGAAGATTCACCGTAAAGAGCACTCTAAAACTCAAAACAAGTTAGAATTCTAACAGCCAATAAGTCAATTTGCATTGGCACAAGACTTCTCAGTGAAGTTGACAATCATTGGGTCAAAGAAAATTCAAAATTAATAGAGAGATAACAGCCAAAAACCTTACACTGATGAACAAAAGTTGCAGAATACAACTAAATGCATTCACTAATTATTTCAGAATAAAACAGTGTAGGTGTCCCTTTAAGGACAAAAATGCTCACCTCAAGCCTGATCCTTTCTTTTTCTTCTTGTGCTACTCGTTCCTGTTCCACTAACCTATCGAACTCCTCCTGTTTCTCTGCTATTTCCTTGGTCTGTTTGAACAGTTAAAAAGGAAAACTTTAGAAACAAGTAATTTCCCTTTGTACAGTTAGAACAATGCTTAAAGTTCCTTTAAAATAGTGACCACTACACAATTGAGTTAAGATGTACACGCCAGGGGACTAACTGTGGGGACTTGTTTCAGGGAATAGTCTGCTATAAGATTTCCATGATAGGACAAGGTGCAGGACAAGTCCCTTTGAGGGTTCACATAGTCGGACATGTTACACACACAAAATTGAAAAGTTTAAATTGATAATATTGTGCAAGACACAAAAGTAAATTACAATTTTCAAAGGTCATTTTTGTACTTTTTAGGAGTTTACTTCTTCAAATTAAGAGTTAGCAGAACCATCTATTGCTGATATGAAGCAGGGCTTGCCTCTTTAATTACCACATCAAACATTTTCAACATGGAATCAAAGAAATCCTAACCCCTTTCTGTTGGAAGAATTGACACTAAAATTTAAGCTGAAGCATTACTTTAACCTAACTGATGTAAGAGCTCTCCTAGGCAATTGCTGAGAATAACCCCAGAGTAAAACTTGTGATCATTTCACAAAGTGTGCTGGCTCACTCCAATCAATGGTGCAGATTATGAAGGCTCAAAAAACAAATTTTCATTGAGTTCTGTTGTAACACAGTACTGTAGAGAACTAAACATTTTTTGATCCAGACTGCTGCTTCTAAGAAACACTTTGGTTTTTCTTTTCTTTATGTAAGTTCTGGACATACCAATTTCTCCTTATCCGCTTCTTCTGCCAACTGTTTTCTTTTCATTTCTTCAAGTTCTTCCTGTTGTTTCCTTTTTTGCTCTTCCTGTTTACGTGTCTCTTCTTCAAGTTCAGCCTTTTTCCTCAGTAATTCATTGGCTTTGTCCTCTGCCTCTTGCTTTTCTACAACAATATCAAAACCACACCAATGCTTAATTTTTTCAGTGGAAATTATGTTTTTTAAAGACAGGACAGACCTTGCAGTTCAAATAGTTAAAGCATTCAACCAGTCAATGAAAACTTAACCCTTTCACTCCTTGAGGTGAATAATATGTAACTTCTCCCTATAATATCCACACATTATCAACCAAACAGCTAATGAGAATACTCAAACTCAACAGATAGAAGTAATTTTCTTAATCTAAAACCAAATTCTTGTTACTAATTTAAAGGAAATGTATAGCAGGTTAGGGGGGAGAGGGGAGAATTCACAATAACATCTTGGAGTTACAGGGGTTAAGTTTTGAAACCTCGGTGACAGACTGCCATGACTAACACTACATTTCCAATGAGTGTGGTGTTCACCTGATAGAAGATAAAAGTTGGATTCTTGCAGTAACTCTTCACCAACTGCTGCTGGTAGTTGAAATGGAATTTGGAGTTTTTATTGTAAAGGGACAAAAATCAGACAACCAAAAAACCTGGAAAAACCTACAAGGAGGCTTAAGGACCAACCCTAAACTCAACCCACCACATCTACGGCTGACATAAGCACTTTGAGCCCAAAACTCTAACCGCTGCATTAATTTTTGAGGCTTCAATATCAGACTAAACTGTTGAAACAAGTTACCTTAAATTGTTATATCATGCAGATTAAAAGAAATATATTGAATCCCCTGTCCCCTTCCCTGTCCCCTTCAATCAGTAGCGCCTGTCTCTCAAAGAGGTCTATACTTGATATAATGCCAACATTTGATCTGGGAAGGGGCTAGAAATCATGTTTAAGAAATCTAGGGGGCAAGTGATTCATTCATGGCTTAGAGCTAAGTTTTGTATCCCCAAGTTTTGTCTAAGAGTACAGACTCCATCAAAATAACTTTGACTATGTACCTCTTGCTTGTCTTTCCTTGTCAGCTTTAAGATTAGCTATCTCTAGCTCGAGCTTCTTCCTCTCTGCCTCAGCCGTTTCACGCGCTGTCTTTTCTCTTTCAAGCTTTTGTCTGCAGCAAGGGCACAAGACATAAGGAAGGACAAATATATACCACTTATTGTTTTTAAGACTAAGAGTTCAGCAGATTAAGGCAAGTTTGTACATCTTTCTTTGCCAAATTCCTGATGTAAAGATTTTATATCAATTTGATAACTCTAAGTTATGATTATGCATGATTACACCAGTCTGTAGATATCAGACCCAGCTGCATTACTTGACTAGTTTTTGGCATGGAGAGCTAGATCAATACAAAAAGATAACTAACCTTTCCTTCAACCTTGACTGTCTCTCTTCCATAGCTTGTGCTTTCATCTGCTGAACTTCAATTGTGTCAGGCTTCCTGCGTCTCATGTAAAGTTCATGATTTCCCATGCAGAGAGCCAGAATTCGCTTGTTTATTCTCAAGCGAGCCGCATAGAAAACAAAATCCTATTGAATTAATAGAAATTCAAGACAAAGAGAATCAAGACCAACTCACTGTCACTACAGAAAGAACATTTTGAATAAAGAAACTTATGTGAAATAGCGAGTTTCTCCTCCTACTGGGGGTAAATCTTGACACCTGGCAGCTAATTGGCTAAAGAAACATTTGACTACAGTTAACTTTGCCATTTAAAGCTTTACTAAAAAATATACAAAAACCAAAAACGAAAGCTTTTTATGAACGCAGCAGAACAGTTCAACACCCAAGTGACAATCCTTGACATGCACCATACAACTGCTTGGCCACAGCCCAGAAAACAATACACCATAAAAGGCCCCCAGCATCCCCTCTGTACTGCTAAACAGAGGATGTTAAATTAAAGAACCCATCCCCTGTTAGCCAAATAGAAAATACCCTCTTACAGTTAGTGGAAAATGCAAACACTTACTGGAGCTTTTTTGTCAATAGGTTTGATGATAAATTTCTTGTCATTAAAGGAAATGTTTCTGATCTCACTCCAAGGAAATCCAATCTTGGGAGTCAGCCTGAAGAGCAAAGCGTAAGTGTAATGTTTGAAATTCACCACTGAAGTGGATAAAAACATTTTTGGCAAGAATTTAGGAAAAAATCAAATTAGGATCAAAGTAAACAGACTGTCTAAGGAAACATCAGCTTTTAACCTTAACTTTAAAGTGGAAGCACCACGAAAACCAAATGTAACTTACTTGTCTTCTTTTTCATAAATGTTCAAACCCAATGCATCAACACCAAGGAAGAGTTCTGTCCCTCTTTTATTTTTGATATCAAAATAGTTCACTCCATACATTTCTAAATCCTGGGCAGCCTTTAGGTACTCGATCATGGCATCCTCTCTGTTTAATCAACAGTGAAAAAGTACTTTTAATTGATACTAGCTGAACAATTCTTGGAAAACTAATGAAAATTGCAATAACTGAACAGTCTTTGACTCATTGGAGCCTTACACCTTTCCAAACCTTCTACTCCAACCCTCCCACTCCCTTCTTTCTCCCCAGAAACAAAAACACTTTCAGTTAGGCTACACAGTAAACATTTCCAAGTGGATGAACTTAGATTTAAGGGTCCATAGTATGTTAGCTCAAGAGAACACGACTGCACATTTCAAAGATGTACTGAAGGAAAGTGTGACACCCCCATTACAGAGGTAAAAATGTTCTCAAGTTTTTTCATTTTGCACTTGAGCTTATGTATTTAAAGTAACCCTTTCTTTCAGTGGCACTTTGTTTGATTGAAAAGTAACAAAAATTGTTTCCAGTATTCTTAGAATTTTTCATTCTTAGTCAATACACAACACAAGACCCCAAAATGCTTTAGTTTCCCAAACCTTCTCCATGACTTGGGGCATTTTCTTTGCAAGTGGGAATTTCTTGTTTTGCTGCATAGACTTCCTCTTATTAGCATTTTCAGAAATGCAAATTTGGCAAGTACTTGTAAATGGAAAGGTAATGATCTTAGTGGAATTATATGGGTATCTTCAATGTACTGCTGCTCCCAAACAAGTACAGGAACCCCTTCCCTTATTTAAAAATTTGTGTTCCTATTCAATAAACCATCAATAGGTAAAGTTAAACAAAAATCTTAGTCCAGGTTCTATTATAGAGGAATGACCTTTAGTTAAAAAGGTATCATTCCATGCAAGTTTTGTCATACCTTGACAGGATAGCATGTTCACCCCACCAAACTGAGACCCTTCCAGTAACATCATCTATCAACTTATTGGTGATAAATCTACAGAATAGAAATACTATTGATTACATTTCTGAACGTAATGTCCATAAAACAAATGAAACTAAGCACCATCCCCAAGAACTGAGAGAGAGAGAGACTTTATTTCAAGAGGGTAGCACGTGACAGTAGTTAAACTGATAATCCTGTGGCCCTCTATTAACCCACCCATCCCACCCCAGGGGAGGACATCCATCACACAGTAATCTCCTGTGTGGGAAATTAACGTCTCCTACCCAACCCTGCAGGAGACGGGACCTCCATTTATTCGTCCCTATCCAAGAAGACCAAAATATCTAACCATTTCTTGATGTCATAGAAAGGTAACAAATTCTTCTTAATTATTTTAAGACTCTGAGTGTTGGTCCGGCCGGGACTCGAACCCTCGACCTCCCACACAACAGTCCAGCGCTAATATACAATTCTTCCACTTCGAAGAACTAGCAGCGTAGGCTGAGGCATTCAACATTTTATAATTCCTCTCCGTCTGAAACAAAGATGAACCAATGACACAGAACCTCTCTGAGGACAGTCAACCTGTAGATTCCTGACTAAAGTAGTCTCAAGATAATTTGATTTTATCAACTAATAAGAGTATCTAAACTGATGTTTCAAGCCTTGGTCATTCATTCTCTCTGACAAAGGGCTAACTCTCCACACATCAGCTATTAGTCTAATTTCAGAGCTAAGCCAAGTGTTTCCAGCAATCTGATTGGTAGAGCGGTTCCTTATGTGACCCTATATAAACCGCTCCACGGGGTTTGTATAAAATGTTAAAATAAAATGTTAATAAATGTTACAAAAATGTTATGTTAGAAATTTCTCTGTTGCTCAGCTCTGACATTATACTAAAACAATTATTCACCTCGGGTTCGGTGAATATTGTCGAATAATCCCCTCAACTTCATCTTGAGGATTATTTGATATTCACCTCACCTTCGGCATATAATTGTTAATTATAAACTCAGTTGAAAAAACCACATTATCTTGCAATATTGCCCTACCAACACAGCACCACAGTTTTTTTTAGAAACTTACCCCTTGAAAGTAGTCTCAAATGACCAATCAGAAAGAAGGATTCCATACAAACAGTCCGAGTTAAGAAAAAGGCATGTAAACAAGTAATTATTGTTTAAGTCTGACATCAATCCTTTAATAAAAACCCAACTTTAATTTGACCTTCACATGACAAGCCAAGAAAATTTCCAATTACTCACAATCTTAACTATCATCTATGATACCCTCACCTTTCAGGCACTAATCTTTCATGTTTCAAAAATTCAGGAGAGTGAACATCAGAATTGTATGTCCCATGCTTGGCATGTAACTAAGTTGAATAAATGAATACATAATTAAACAAAATAATTAACAGTAATGTTCACGATAGAGGACTGATTACAATATATGAGAAAAGAAAAAAATTAGCATTACTAAATAGGAAAAACTATTAAAATAATAAAGACCTAAAAATTATGAGAGCAGATGTAGACCAGCTACAACAAGGGTGAAGTCTTCTGCAACCTTGCGTGATTTAAACGGAACTCTAGAATCTCTTGTGCATCTCTGTACAGTTCTTAATATGGCAAATGAAAGTTGTATTCGTAGCCAGGAAATGACACTGGCATAGGGTTCATTATTCTTGTTCGAAAGCTTCTTTGCAAGGGTTCTTAAAAAGTAATAATAATAATAATAATAATAATAATAGTAATAATAATAATAATAATAATAATAATAAAGTCTTTTACTCACCAAACAATAAAAATACATACATTTTGTTACAAGTGTAAGAAAGTTTAAAAAGGTGAAAAGTAAGAATTAAAAATTGAGCATATTACATAGCTAATTCATATTAAAAACTAAACAGTTAATAGGAGTTCTTAAAATGCATTGTGTTGATCTTAGTTAATATTAATCTAAACTCCTTCCTTTCTACAACAGTACCTAAGTTCTACAAAACCTATGTGGGAAAATTTAGCTTCTGTTCTAATTATCCTTGGAGACTGGTCAAATTAAAACAACCTTAGTAAGTCAGAGTGAAAGTCAAGTATTTGTTTTTTCCTCTTCTAGACCTACTAAGTGTCTGAAAACACCTTTTTCCAGTGTTTAGATCATGTTGTATACCGTGCAGAGAAGGCCAGGGAGAAGGCAAGTTCATGGACGAAAAAGGGGAAGGAGAGCTATCAAAAACTATGCATTCACTCAGTCTTACGCGTAATGAGGTTGTAGTTGGAGAGCCACTGACACTTATTTCCTCATGAATTTCTTCAAAACAGTGTGGGAGATAATCAAGAACAGGGGAATACTTTGGATTGTACATTATCACATTATAAAACTTATGCAAGTATCAATTTAGGAACACCACAATATAAAGATATTATGGTAAGTGACATTTACTGACACAAAAATATAATGTGTTGTAGTCAACTTACAGCATATGAGGACAACAAAACTGCAGTTTCTGCAGGACAAAAAGTTCTTTCTGCAAGGATGTCCTCCTTTACTTGCAAGAAGAATAGTCGCTACAAAACAAGAAAGCACAAGTCAGAATTCTCGTTACAAATCTACAAGTGTATCCACCACCTTCATTGACATGGAAACTGAGGAGTTCACGGTGGATCATTCTTACACTGCAATCAGTGTGATGTAATCCTAACAGGAATATGCAGTATTTTGAAAGATTCAAAAAGCCACCAATTAAGGTTGTATATCAGACACCTCCAAAAATTTTTTAGCAACCCCCGTGAAACAATAGACCTTCTAAAATCGATGAAAGAGCACACAGTATGCTTCTCCGAGAGAACTAAGGGAAGTTTTCTTTTGTTACATCGCAGTTACTTCTGATATAGTTTGTGATGATTTGACAGCATAATGTTTTTCTTCTTCAAGTAATGAGGCTGACTGGTTCCTTATCGAGACGATTGGTTGGTTTCCAAAAGCTATGATATTTTATCCTTGACCATTTTGACGAGTTGTTACCTCAGCAGTTAAATGCTTTGCATCTTCTCTGTTATTGTGTTTCTCCATCAACAAACAAAACAAATTATTCTTTCTTGGCACAGTGAGGCATGACCAGTTGACCTCGTCACTGGATGAAAATAATGGTATGCTTTCCAAATGTGATCATCTACACCCCAAGTGACTTCCTCACAAAATAAATGAATTACATCCTCTCCATTGAATTTCATTGTAAGGAAAAACCACAACTTTCTAATCAGAGGGTTAATCATGTGAGGATTTGATGGTATTTTGAGCAATTTTTTTACTGAACTCACCCTTGTGACCTCTTGTATGAGTTCCTCTGACACATCTTCGGGGTAAAATTTTGCACGAAATTTGAACTGAAGAGGTGATTCTTTCTTGACATCCTGACTTTGAACCTAATTATTAAAAAAAAAAAAAAAAACCAATATCTTCTGGGTGAAATTTTGTGCAAAATTTGAACTCATTAAAAAAAAAACAAACATGTGAAGTTTACTGTCCTACATTCAGTACAAAGGCAGCTTACAATTAAAGGCACAAATGAAAACATCTTATCTATCCTCTTTCTATCAACCATAATGTACCTTACAAACATAACAGCCTGTACACAAACAATATCTCCTTCCACAGAAGAATATTAGATACTATTTCACTTGCTGAAAATGCTAGTACCATACTAGAGTTGGAAGGCTCAAATAAAGTGAAATATCTGAAGAGCTAAGCTTAGACAGCTTAATCTAAAGCTTTCACAGTTCATATAGTATAACAAAAAAAAAACACTGTACTAAATAAGAAAAAAAAAACAGGCCTCCAATCAAGGCTCCTTGCAGCTTGAACAAATGAAATTGACTACAAGTTCAACATTTTTGGTGTTTCAAATAACATTTACATAGCTGCATGATAACCCACCAAGGAATTTACAACTCATAAACAGAACAATGCATGTCAGAATGAACAATTGTTTCAGGATGATACAATCAAGTATTAAAATGCTGAGTTCAAACAGAGAATTTACTACCATTAACACGTTTATGTTTTTATGCACATTGGGCATAGACCTGATGTAAAATACAGCAGATACACTCTGGAACAGACAGGTGAAAAAAAAAAAAAAGACAGAAAAAGAAACAAACTTACAATTAATTCTCATTTTGTTCAAACAGCATAGAAAAACATCCCCCATTTGAATAGTTTTCTCGGGTTTCAAATCTATTTTTCAGAAGTCATATGTGATTGTTTGTGAAAGCTATATATCAATCTCAGTTTTGGAAATAGTTGAGATAACATTTTTTTCACCTTGTAATAAAAGTTTGAGAGTGACACATATCATTAACATAAGTGTTTCAATAAAACATTTGAACTTGTGAAGGATGAAAGAGGCATGATTGAATTACTAAGATCACATACAAGTCATCTCAAGTTGATAAGCCATCATGTCGCTTTAGGGTGGTCAAGTCAAAGATATAATTATATCTTCCAATTTCCAAACAAAAACAAACTTGCTTAAATAACAATTACCTAACCTTTTAGAGGAAAGACTAACTGAAAAATTCAGTACTACAGTAATAATGATAAGAGCTGATAAATCAGTCTCACTACTGCTAAATTATACTGCACAATAAAATAATAACTTATTCCTTTGTAAATCAAATCAAGCAAGTATGTTTCCACTGACAAAACATTTTGGTATCATTATCTGCATGTTTATCAATTTCAAGGTTAATTAGCATAGTTAATCAAATAATTTCCCAGGGAGTCTGGAATAATTAAGACCAAGCAGAGCTTACGAAGAGTCAAAACCATTTGTATTCTGGGAGTGCTTAACAAGTGCCATTTACTGCAACGTCCTCAAGAAATCACTTTATCATTTGTTGAAGACATAGATTTCCCTTCATTTTTCTGCACTCAATTTCAACTACCAGCCCTGTTTGCCATGTTCTGAAAAAGGTGATCATGCTGAAATTTTAACATTTATACATGTTCTTAACAAAATGAAATACAATGGCTTGAATGAAACTCAGCCATAGAGTCATATTTTATAAGAACACTTAAAGGGGCTTCATTAATATTTTCTGCAGGAGGGCAACTCGTTTTCACAGGCGGGAAAAACTCTTTGAACTGAACTTCTTTACTAGATAAACTTTCCTCCAGACCGTCAAATCAGGTGGGCAAAACCGTCCTCACAACCGGTCAATTTGCCCGGTGCCTGGCCCTTAATGAAACCCCTGCACTTAATCAGAGAAGTGCATCAAAAGCAGATTCACAAATTTAGAGCAGATGATGAAATAATTCTAATTTAACAGTAAACTGGTGAGGAAAGACATTAATCATGAATAAAAATGGCACACAACCATTTCAGAATTCAGAGACATTATGTCACAGTCTGCACTTCTCTATTAGGAAGACACCTAATTTATGGTCTGACCATCTCAAGTTTTAAAAGCTGTCATGGTTGCTTTTGGTTTAGTTTTCCCTCATGGATGTTTTTTTTTTTTCCAGTCTAACAAACTTTTATTTTAACAATGGATTGACAGGCTGTGGCTAAAATGTCATATTGTAGCTCTTAAAATTAAATCAATTCTCTACTGAGGTTTTCGTTTCAACATATAACATATGCTCAGAGCAAGAAGGAGCTTGCCTCAATGTGCCTCCAATCTGTACCTGCAGTTCTACTTATTTTTTTAATATATTTATTTGGCTGAAACAACTGATTCTCTCTCTTAATATCTACAGCAAAATGATACCACAGTAAAGAGTGAATGTTAATGAGCCAACCAGACAATAGTGTCATAATAGTGTCTTGCAATTTACCTGAGTGCCTATTTGTGAGCCAAAACCACATAACAATCGGCTCTTGTTTCCTTTCAAATGCAGATGCAGAAGATGCAAGGACTCAACCTGGTGTTTCGTAATACTAAATATGCATTTCATTTCCAAAAAATTGGAATTCGAACCATACCTTCTTGTTTAGCTTCAACCATGTCTCGTATCCTTTGGTGTCTGTGTATTGCAGACCGAAAAACCAAATCTCTCGTAAGCCTATCGTCTTCACGACCTGGAATAATAAATTTAAAGTTTTGAAAACATATGGCTTAAAACAAGCTTGGTTTCACAGATGTTGCTCCCCCATGGAGAATTGAATACTGATTGGTAAATAGTTATTAAACTATGCACAGTATCGAGAGCGCTGGGCGAGTTTAAATTTCAAGATTTATACCTGATCAAAGAGCTGTTTTCCCGTTGTGCTTGGCTGAATTGCAAACTCCAGCTCAGCATCCATGGTCGTGACGCGAACGTTCAGCTGAGGAAATCAACAATCGCACATATCAGACGTAGAATCGAAAATGAATGTATACAAAGTGTATACTTTCTGTTCCACACGGACTGTGCGAAAATCTGAAGTCTGAAGCAGTTAAAAAATTGACTGTAATACGGACTCACCACTTTCGGCATGTTGATGATTCTTGTCTTGTCACCACAAACAAACTCACAAACTTAAAATGAATTTCCTTGACCGGCAGCTAAGAGGTTAAGATTGAGCTGCAATACAAGAGAACACGAAATTTAACAGGGCTGAAATTCACAGTCACGCACGCTGAACTTTTCAAGCGAAACATTCTGGGAGTGAGCCGCATCTCAAGAAATCGCCGGGATAATAAAATCCCTCACGTCGGTGAAGTAGTCTGAAAAACTTATCTTGCAGGCAGGAACAATGTTCATCAGCGGTGAATTACAATTACAAGTTCAGAAATGCATATGCCCGCGACGAATTCAAACGAAAGATTGAAAACTCCGTTGATATTGGAGTAGAGAAAATCAAAATTCCTAGTAATATCCTCTGAGATTTTCTGTCTAGTCTTACTCACCTCTAGAGAAAAATAGTGAAGAAATAAGAGAGGTTCGAGCCAAATGTTACCGTAAATCTCAACAGTTTGGCTCGCTAGTATGGGCGTAACTCAGGGACCAAGAACAGCGCGAAGCAATATATTGAGTCCCCTCTGGGTACAAATGAAGAGGGTTGACATTCGGAGGACTGGAACCCATTTCCGGGCCTTCCCCACTTCATTCTTCATTTGGGACAGCGTTTCCGGGAGGAAAAACAATAAAAACCAAAAAACAAAAACCAAAAATAAAGCCAAGAACCGAAAATTTCTTGAGCTCATGAAAATCTTAATGGTTAATTGAAGATTTCTTTGCCAAGTTGACGATCATAAACTTCTGACGATATTTTTTCTTTTTCACTCAGTGCACTTCTGGAATTTTCTGCTGTGAAAGAATTTCCATAAAATTGTTTCATTTGTAGTCCTGTCAAAATTACACTTTGCATATTTAGTTCCAAAGACTTAAGATGCGAACAGGCTTGTTTATGGATTGCTTTGTATGGGTAATCAACATGGTTGATATTAGGCACGCCACGGGTATGCATAATCTCAAAGTGATTGATTTCAAAACTTCGTCGAAGATTTGGGTCAAACGTAAATATACCGAGATGTGTGGACTGAGATTACCCTCTAAATGTTATTAAATGTTAAACGATTGCAATTTCTCCCACTTAGTAAAAGTCATTTGCGTAAACCATTTATTTGATGTAGATTTCGGGACAAATGTTGCGTGACCAATTATGGTCAAAACTTAGGAATAATATTAATATATGAAATACGTCACATTTCTAACAGCTTTAGTTCGATTTCATTTTCTGCCTCGGCTCTTTTCTTTAAAAATAAAGAAACGCGCAAGACGTAAGTATGAAAATATTTGAATTCGAAGTTGGGAGAGAACCACGAGTAATTAAAACATCATCAGTGCCACATGAAATTATGAAAGATTCCAAAAACTCTGCTCGAATATTCCCCTCAAAGTTTCTCCCCACGAGCAAACTTGCTGAGGATTTTTCACCAGAAAGAAAAATCAGAACTAGTGAACAGGTCAAATATTCGCAAGTATGTAAGAGTTCTCGAGGATATATATTCCAAAGTTCCAGTAGAATTTCCCTAAAAAAAAATCCAACAGTTCAAATTATTCGACAAGCACGAGAAGAGCGTTGACTTACCTCTTACTGCAAACACGATGGATATGCTTTGTCTCACGGGCGAAAATAATTCTAACTTTTATAGAACGAGAACCCGGGGTTATGTGACCTTGAAGGTTTAGTTTTAATATGCAAACGACGGGAAGTATTTGTAGTGGAGTGATAATTTGAGCATGACGTCATACATCTGCATGAAAAAGAAGTGTACACATTCTTTGGTAACCACGGCAACAAAAGATTGAACCAGAATCCAAAACACTTTGTGGGCGACAATTTATCCCATAGTTTGGATAGTTCTTAGTTGAAGTCATTCCGCATTTTCTCTCTGAAAGATCAAGTAAACATTCCGAGTTCCAAAAATTAGAAAGCCAATGACCGTTACAAACAACTCCAATTAAAAGTTCTGTGCTGTTACTAGTATCAAGAGAATAATGCATCATCTTTTCAGAGTTGACATTAATCAGTATCGCAAGCTAAAGCACATATTGGTGAAAGTCAACTCTAAAAAATATGACGGACTTTTTTTCAAGAGAGTGGCAACATCATAGTACTTTAATTGGACCCTGTAAGAAATAGTTTATAACAGTTATAGTTAGTTCTTTACTACAGCATTATGGGTCAACTGGGATTCCACCTGTACTATAAAAGTTAAAGGCTCTTGATCGAAAAAATGATTATAAAATAGGGTGAGTTTTGTGAGGGAAGCTGAAAGAACAGAGATACTAAAACATTTGCTGCATTATTGCTAATAGATTTGATCCTGTTCTAACTTGATAGTATCAGAAGTCTGCCGAAATTTCTTTCTGTTTCCAATTTTTTGCGTGGGTGTAATTCGATGCATAAAAATGGTAAAAACCATTGTATCGGACGAAGAATAATAAGTGATCTCTCATCTAAATTCTACTCGTGCAGAAAAGTTTGGGTTCTAAATGGAAGCACTACAACGACATGCTCAAGATAATAATAACGATGACGCTAACGATAAAAATAATTGTTATCTCCACTGGTGTAGACTTCCCAGTGGAGCTTAAACAAAAGACTGCTCCAAATTATCACGCTCTATTTTCTAATAGAACCGTCAGAATTTTGAGAAAGGTGTTGTAACATTTAACTCATTCTCAAAGGCGCACTCTCCAGACAAATTGCTGTTGCCTGGCTCCCCTAAAGACGTACAGATGATTGTTGTAATAAATAAGACGCTTGAAGATGTTAAAGTAAAATGCGGTGGTCGTTACCTAAAGTCACTATGGCTTTACGTCAACCTCGTTCCCAGGGCCCTTCCCTTAGTTGAGAGTGAGGCTTTGTCCACTCTGTACTAGCCTCCTAACCAAGACCTTCATTTGGCCCGTCACGCAAGCTTCTCTCGTGACGAGCCAAAAGTGGCTAACTGAGAAAAACAGTATCAAAGCAATCCAATTTAAAACACGTCGCCAATTATTATATGAGGTGACGATGAAAGTCGACTGAATTTTATACGTGGCTTAACTGCGGCATGATGATGATCACGGTGATAATAATGATAACAATGATTGTACGCTGGTAAGAACATGTACTCATTGACTGAGTGGAAAGGCCGCAGGAAAAAAAAATATTTGACCCGAGGTCATGACGCACGTACGGACCAAGTGCAGCGAGATCCGTACGTCATGACTGGGAGCTAAACGTTTTCCCGCCCGGCCCGACCAAACTCAGTCAATAAGCATTTTATCGTATGACCACTAAGTGTTGAAAATTTCGAAAATTTTGTTTCAACTTAAATACTGGGACACGATAGACGGGGGCACGCATGCGCAGGACAACCATAAAAAAATTATTCAATCGTCTCCTTTGTTTTTCAAGTTCGACAAGAAGCTTACGATTCATCGAGAAACGCTACCTTCTTTTAACACTTTCTTTTTCCCTTAAAGTTTTTGCAACAAAGCCGTGTGACTGCAAGGCCAGACGACAAACGCGTGAGAAAGGACACTTAGAAGAAAAAAAGAGGTACGAATCGTTGCAGTGGAAGCTTACCAGGCAATACCATGGCCGTACGATCGCGCAAATTCACTTAAGTCATAATAAATGTACTGCAGAGATGGAATTGTGAGCTAGATGTCGAGATGAACAGGAATATTTGATGGGCAACCCAATGATTACTGCAGATAATTAGGATCATAGTATTTACCAAACAATGATTATAATATAATATCTTGCATATCAACTTTTATAATATTTTAGTTACTGGCAAGGGAGACCATCTCATCTTCAAGACGGAAACAGTAAGCAGTTTAGTTCAACCTCGTTCCCAGGGCTTTTTCCCTCACTTGGGTGCAGGGCAAATAAGGGAAAAGCCCTGGGAACGAGGTTGTAGTTTAGTTCATGCAATTAATGAGGTCGTTATTTGATTGATTTATTAATCGTTTAACACTAATTACATTATCAACTTAGTCTTGAATTTCAAAGTCAAGATTATTTAC